AGATCCACCCCAATATTGTTAAAGCAGAAATGGATAGGGTTCCTGGAATTATACTCTTGTAGAAAGTTTGCCAGGTGATTCTGATGATCATCTCTGTTTTGCATCAACTGATCTAGAGACCCAGCTTTTCCTCCCAACTTGACCTGTGCACCGGAGAAAATCTCATAAATATTATGGATCTCCCTCTTCCAACTATAAAGTTTATAGTTCTGTGTTTTGCTTAGATCTCTGATAAAGATGCACAATTTAAATAAAGCTTATCACAATTCAGCTGAAATTCATTATTTACCTTGGACCCTAAGATCTAAATTTATGTCAAAGGTAAAACTAAAAAAGAGATGGTAATAATTTCATCATCCTAAGAAAGATTTTTTTTTTAAATATTAGATCTAAATACTAACTTGTGAACCATGCCAGGTGTTAATGAATGATCAGGCTGTTCCCTCACAGCCATTCCCAGGCATGTCCCTGCTTTATAATCTTGTCCCCTCCTCCCTATTCCAACCACAAAGACTGATCTGGCAATTGGCTTCTAACACAAGTAGAGCCATCCAAGTTTTCTGATTTGCGGAATTCAGAACCTGAAAAGAATGACTTCGAGTTCACTGGAGCTGAATTATATGAGTGGTGCAAGCCTAGAGGAGACCAGGAACTGTGAATTCAAGAGGTTGGGTTTTCCCAGGGTATCTTCCACTCCAAGAATTGGTGGTTTAGCAATTCCTTCTATTCTGTGACTTACCTCAAGTCTTTCTCATAAATTCTGTGTGTTTTCACTTAATCTGTAACTCTATTGAACTTGGGACAGGAATAAAACCCTAAGGAATCCATCTTATTTAATGAAATAACCTATCTCCTACGCATTTAGAATGATGCTGGTTTTATATACTCTTGAGATAATTGAGAAAACAGTACTCAAATCAGATAGGGAATCTCAGATGAAAAATATTGAGCTAGAGAATGTTGATTAATGTTGTTTTCAATGCAGCTATGATAGATGGTGTAAGGTAAGTTATGGAAGACCCAGTATATAATTAATAAGAATACTTTCCTATCTTTATATTAAATATCTTAATTTTTAAAAAGTCTGAAAATACAGCATAACAGAATATCTATGTTCATTATATTGAAGGAAAGTCAGACTCAGCTACATTTCCTGCTCTTGGACATGTAGCACCAACCATAAAGTGAGGAACTGAACCTAGGACTCCTAATTTCAAATTAAGGGCTATATCCATAGAGCCCATAGGAAAACACTAGTCAGTATTGATTGATCCTTCTGCACTTTTACTGGCTAAATATGTCTAATTTCAAATTAAGACTTATAGTATATAATATTAGCTTTCTTTTAAAATATTTTATTTTTCTACGCATATATTTGCAATTATATGAAGAAGTACTTTAAATTTGGGGACAAATAATCAAACACAATCTGTAACACTCTGGCAAATCCATTGAAGGTGTTGTTTTCTGGGTTGTGGAAGAAAGGTGATTAGGAATAGGAAATTTACATCTAGTAGGGTGTGAATACAAGGACTTTCCATATTCCTTTGTCTTTCTGAGTTTGTAAGTCTTCACAGAATAATAGGAAAGCTAGCTCTAGAAGCACAAAGAGGTAGGAGTTACTATGGGTAGTTCTTTTTAAAAGCAGCAGCCATCAGAAATCTTTAAAGACATTTTAACTCTAGCATGTTGCCTGATTTTGATAGCAGGAGAGCAATTGAGTTTGGCACAGAATTGGGCTTCAATAAATGTTTATTGAATGAATCAGTGAAACAGTGGCTCAATAAATCAACAATGTTATAGAACCATAGAGTTTTAGAATTGAAAGAAACACTGGAGATCACAGTCTGCCTGTGTCACTTTGCCAGGAAGGAAAATGAGGCCCGGTAAGGCTAAGTAGGGTGGTCAAGGGCAGAGCTGAAAAGTGTCCAAGAAGAAACCAGTGTTACACTCTCATAATTCTTAGCCTGATGCATTTCTCTGAGCAAATAAAATAATAAATAGCAAATATTTTATAACATTATTTTGCAAGTCACTCAGGTACAAACTTGTTTAAAAGAATAAACCATCAATAGAAGTGTGTATTTTGTTTCTTTTTTTTTTTTTTTTAATTTACCATACTTCCATCTCGTTCTTATGTCATGAACCTTAATTAACCAAGTGCTCCTAGAATTAGGGTGTTGGGCATCGTGATATTTGGTAAAAAGCTGATTTTTTTTAAACTGCTGGGTAGTGGTTTTAAATGTAGTGGTTACTTTAAAAATAATGATCATAACATCTAACATTAATTAATTGTCCACCATATGTTGAATGGAAATTTTTCTCATGGAATTGTTGATTAGAACCTTCTGAAAGAAAAGAATTTAAGTAGCCTTCATTGTAAATGGAACCTCCCTAAACTGGCCAGTTACCTTCCTCAGCATTTACTAGAGGACAGAAAGACTGACCCTTAAACTACTTCTAACTCCCCACTTCCACCTCCCTTATCTACCTAAGCAGTGAGGGATAGATAAGCACAGAGTCTTTAAGGCATAGGCTCTGTAAAACATATTGTTAGTGAAGAGGTTTGCTTTTTTTACCCAAAATAACTGCGGGAATGAATTATTATAGAATCACATGTAGAGCCTGTGTATGCTGGGAAAAAAAAATGAAAGCTGGTGTTCTGCATTCGCAATGCATGACTTTGTATGCATCAAACTTGCTGGCCTGCCCTATGCCTTTCTGAGGAGGGAAGAAGAGGACTGGCAGGCTAGAAAGAGGGGACAAGAAGAATTTAACCTGGCCGGGCGCAGCGGCTCACTCCTGTAATCTCAGCACTTTGGGAGGCCTAGGCAGGCAGATCACAAGGTCAGGAGATCGAGACCATCCTGGCTAACATGGTGAAACCCCATCTCTACTGAAAATACAAAAAAAAACAAAAAAGAAAAATAGCTGGGCATGGTGGCGGGTGCCTGTAATCCCAGCTACTCAGGAGGCTGAGGCAGGAGAATGGCGAGAACCTGGGAGATGGAGGTTGCATTGAGCCAAGATCATGCCACTGCACTCCAGCCTAGGCGACAGAGCGAGACTGCGTCTCAAAAAAAAAAAAAAAAAAAAAAAAAAGAAGAAGAATTTAATCTGCACTATCAACATTTGGTACAACCAGAATGCCCACAGGCATCGGTAAAGAAGATATCCCTTTGAGGCTTTGGCTTGAGCCACCTAGCCAGTATTACTCACAAGAAGGCCACTAGCTGTACCAGGGGATTATAGCAGCCAGATGCTATGGGGTGTTGTGTGAAGGTTAGAGCTGGGAGATGAAACAGATGAATTTCTCTTTCTCATGTTGTTGACTGCTGTTGGGAAGTCACATGGAGCACTAGTGAGTTTACTGCATGAAGGCAGCAAAGGTCAGTAAGGGTGAACCAGAGAAGCAAGTACAGCCCATAGAAAGAGGACTACATGAATAACCACTGTTCTTTTCTCTTCCCCTCATCAGCTCCATCCCAATAAACTGGAAGGGCCAGGTATTGAAGCAGGGGTGATGGTAAGGTACCTAGAGACATACTATGTCTTCCTCCTCCACTTCAACTCAAAATGATGACATTATTAACTTATAAATTAGCCCAAACTTTTAAAAACAAAAAGTGACCACAAATTCAATGATTCTGCCCAAGATATTAAGAGATGGGGAAAATAAGTAACTTAATGTTTAAAAGCAGTAGATGAAGAAATATAATATATATATACATCAATATTGTTTATATCCCACAAATATATCCCATGGATTGATAGTCTTTAAAAAACTTATTATGCATATATTGTTTAATCCTTACAACTACCCTATAAAATATATCCTAGTATTATTGTCTTCATTTACTGACAAGAAAACTAAGACTTTAAGGTGATTATTTACCCATGTGCTCACAGTGTGAGTGGTATTTGAACCCCGGTATATACATGACTTCATAGCCCATACTCCTATGTTCTATAACTTCATAAATGTTGAACTCACTGCTTTTACTTCCATGCCTACCCAGAGTTTATTTTCCACACAACAGCCAGAGTTATATTTTTGAGATGTAAATCAAACCATGTCATTCCCCTAACTATAAAACTCTAGTAGCTTCCCATTGTGCATGGAATAAAATCAGAGTTTGACCAAAATTTAGAAGGACTTACATGACGTAGGCCCATCCCACAGCTCTGATTTCATTGTATTCCCACATTGCCCCAGTGTCACTGTGCTCAATGCTCACTGTATTTTTTCTATTCTTTCTATTCTTTGTCCAGATCTTCCCACAAGTGGTTCCTCAGCATTAAGGTCTCAATTTAATTGTCATTGTCTCATAAAGCTTTCCCAATCATCTAAATCAACTTCCCTGCTCTAGTTATCGCACACCCTCATTGCACTCTTTTGCTTGCTCAGTTTCACATATAACTCACTTATACTTGATTCACTTATGGTTATCTCTCCATCACTGGTTTGATGAGAGTGGGGACCTTGAAAACCTTATTTACTGTTGTATTTCTAATATCTAGAATAGTGCCTCCAAATGGTCATCTAATATATAATCATAAAGTGAACAATACCTGAGTGAATATTAACCTCCTTCTCAATGATAATTTTAGTGTTAGGGGATTTGCCATGTATTACCTTTGGATTCAATGCTTTTTCTGTGTTGAAATCAAATATATGCCATAGGTTTTCAGTGTTCCTTCTCTTGTGCTCCTAGTGTGAAGAGTAGTATTCAACAATTCAAGTGTTCCTATTCTATACTGATTTTGGTGTATACTGACCTAATTCTTTGCATTATTTTAATAACAAGTTAGCATTCTATCTGGAAAAAAAAAAAACAATAAAACAAACCAAAAAACCTTGGTCAAGCCTTCTATGAAGCAGAGGAATGGATGGAGTTGCAAAAGTACATTTCTTCCCATCCAGCATGATTCCTCGTTACACTTATATATTTATTACTCTCTCCTCTACTTAATGTTCTGGAGATATCAAGATAATTTTAGATTTTTTCTTTCTTTTAAAAAACTGCCATTCTTTTTTAAAAACATAGGAGACTTTGAGTTAGCAGTATATATTTCCTGCATTTCTAAGTGTTACTAACTTTAAAATGTTCCAAGTTCACTTAACTACAGTAATTGGGAATGTGACAGCCCAGGCCCATTTGTTTTCATTGAATCAGTTTACATCCAGAATACATGATAGTTTTCAGTTGCAGCAGTGTATGAACAAAGACATTTCTAGGGAGAACCATAAATGCAGTTGCATGAACCTTCTTAATTATATTCACTAATAATGATGACTTGTTAGACTATACCAGGAGTTATACACCCTTTACATTTCTCCAGAAGAGTGGCACTAAGTTTACAAACCCACAGAGAATTTTGTTGTAATATTGCCTAAGGTGAAACATGTTGAGAATAAAAATTCAGAGATTATTTCCAATGATTTAAAGCCTGGGCTCTCTGCTGGGGTGCATATTAAATAGATATTTGATACATCTACACACTGATCAGAGCTCTCTGATTCTTCCCCCCCGCTGCCAGGCTTTTTATTTCCAATGAAAAGATGCAAAGTAATTCATCTGGATGTTTATTCCTTAAGAACAGTGCCATGATATCAATATATATTTTGCCTTTAATACTTATTTCAGATACAAGAGACACAAGTTGTCTTTATCATTCTTAAAAGATATTCTAAATTGCAGTACTGTAAGAATCTGTTCATAACAACAAGACTCTCACACTTTCATGTACACTAGAATCACCTTGGGGATCAGGTTACAGTACAGAGTTTGCACCAGTAAGTTGGGGTGGAGGGAGCCTTGAAATTCTAAATTTCTCATCAGCTCTAAGTGATGCTGATGATACTGTTCTTCGAACCACAGTTCAAGTAGGACGTATCGAGATCATTATTTTGTTAAAGAAGTATCACTTGTACCAACTCTTTCCTCTCCCTGTGAAAATTCTCCTTTCCTCTGCTGTTGCCTTCCAAGATGCTATCATCTGTATATATTTAAAAAAATTGCATTCTATAATTCAGAACAGTTTACGAGATGACCACAATATTTGGATAAATTAAATTATAAATTTTTAGAATTAGAGACCACCCCAGTCTGATTCTAGGGAGAAAGAAGCAATTGGCTATTCTTTGGGTTTAGTTAAATAGATCAATTTCTCAGAATATATTGCCTTGACCAAGTTGCTAATAAGATGATTTCATAGTTACATTTATTTACCTCATATCCATTTCATAAATGAGGACTGTTTATAAATACAAAATACTTGTACATCTCCTTGAATATAATTGTATTATTATAATTTACTTATTTATTAAGTAATCATTAATTGGTACCCAGAAAATTTCAGATTTCTTTCAGAGAATCTTTATAAAGTCCATATTCATGAAGCTACTTTTAATTTTCATTGTGTTAATGATTTTCTTCAGGTTAAAAAATGCTAGCATCGCCGGGCGCGGTGGCTCAAGCCTGTAATCCCAGCACTTTGGGAGGCCGAGACGGGCGGATCACGAGGCCAGGAGATCGAGACCATCCTGGCTGACACAGTGAAACCCCGTCTCTACTAAAAAATACAAAAAACTAGCCGGGCGAGGTGGTGGGCGCCTGTAGTCCCAGCTACTCGGGAGGCTGAGGCAGGAGAATGGCGTAAACCCGGGAGGCGGAGCTTGCAGTGAGCTGAGATCCGGCCACTGCACTCCAGCCTGGGCGACAGAGTAAGACTCCGTCTCAAAAAAAAAAAAAAAAAAAAAAAAAAAAAAAAATGCTAGCATCTAGTTCTTATAGATTAGATTGTGGGGATTTGAATCTGACTTAGGCCCAGAAATTGAAATGTTGCACACCGAGTGAATACCAGGATCATTTGTTCATTCCTTTCCCTGTGTGTCTCATTTTGTTGTTGTTGTTGTTGTTGTTGAGACAGAGTCTCCCATTGTCGCCCAGGCTGTCGCGATCTCAGCTCACTGCAAGCTCCGCCTCCCGGGTTTACGCCACTGGGACTACAGGCGCCCGCCACCTCGCCCGGCTAGTTTTTTGTATTTTTTAGTAGAGACGGGGTTTCACCGTGTTAGCCAGGATGGTCTCGATCTCCTGACCTCGTGATCCGCCTCGGCCTCCCAAAGTGCTGGGATTACAGGCTTGAGCCACCGCGCCCGGCCATGTGTCTCATTTTATATGTAGAACTAGTCAGTCCAGCCAGACACAGAATGGCCTGTTTGGTTCCCAGCGCCTTTGGTTATTTTAACAGATGCAAATCAATTGCACAATAGGACTGGAAAATTATCGTTCTAGAGTTTTGGAACATGTCCTGTTTTCTTTTGCAGAAATATGCTCAAATTTAAGATGCATTTAGTTTTTGGTAATGAATTAGAAGCTCATTTTATGGCAATGTCTAGAAATTAGGAAGAACCTGAGACTGGTATCAAGAGGGCAAGGATTATATTCTGACTTTTCCTCAGTTAGTTATGTGACCACAGTTTTGTCTGTTTGGCCCTCACACTGTTCATCAAATAAATGATGGCACTGGACTAAATAATGTCAAAGTCTAACTTACCTTTCATATTTAATGACTTCAAGTATATCATCAAGAGTCCTGGGTCTTCTTTTGAATTATTTGACGGAAGCTTGGCAATTTATTTCTGGATTGGTCTCGAGGTTTACCTAAGTGAGATAAATCTTTAAGAGTGAATATTTTATAAATCTTGATTATTCGCTGCAGAACAAGAGAAGTTAGACTCAGAATTTACATGTGTTGAATCACAGTTGGTAATTTTAGAATGTCTTATGACATATATTAGGTAGAAAACCAAATGAAAGAGTGAACTACTCTCCCTTGAAAGTAATGCTATTTTTCCTTGTAGTAATCAATTTATTGTTTTAATTTCTAAGTTACATAGTTTGTGGCAAATAAGAAAATACTACATTTCTTAGGGACTGAGGATTTAATTTGATACGAATTTCAATAAGTAGACTTTCCTGTTCTGCTTTTCTAAAGTTGTTTTTTCTTATAGCAGAGACAGCCAGGCTGATTTGTTTTAATAATGCAAGCTTCTAATGTGTACATCTGCTTGGTCAAAGATGTTTTGAGCACAATATTTTTGTATATTTGACTTCTAGAATAGAAAAATAAATGAAGCAGGGCTCTCACCAAAATATCTTTTTTCATTCATTTGTTTTTTCATATATTGATTTTAGTTTCTGGTTTATGTTGAACATGATCTTAGAATCATATAACTATGGTAAAACCTTCTAACCTGTGTGATTTGGGATTGTATATATGAAAAGTAATATAATCAAGAATAATAATATTGGCTAGTTTTTTGGCATACAAAAATGGCCTGACATTCTTCATGTAATTGGGGATGGTGGGACTTCGTTCTGCCCACAGGCTTCCTTGTCTTTAGGATGTATGGTAATTTCTCTGCAGATTATTTATTTGATGAAACAGTTCAGTGAATTTAGAAGATACAGAGGCATTGGGTCAAATCAATGAGATTATATTCTACGCACAGGTAATGCAAAGGAGCATTGTCCCGAGAATCAATTTTTGTGTGAACTTAGGAAGTCATTTAACCTATCTTTGTTTAACTTTCTTTTTTTTTGTTTTTCCATAAAGTAGTGTCAGTGATTCTTGGCACTGAAACCAATCCATTTGTTCAATCTACCATCTAAGGTTTGACCACCTTCTACAACATCCAATGAAATGGTTCAGTTATGGTTAACTTTTTTTCTGTGATGAGGTTTGTTTTTTTATCAAAAAAACTTAAAGTTGAACTTACCCTCAGACAATTAGATAAGCAAGAACTGTGAATTTTCTTCTAAGTTATAGTGGGTTGGATATGGAATAGGACTGAAATCCCATGGCAGCCTCTTAAATCTTTTCCTCCAACTGTATGGCAACAAAAACCAATTGTAGACTATTAGAAAGATGCTTCAAGTTTTTAAATTTTACTTTTTCCCAATTTTATAAAGACATTTCTATGGTTAGAAATAGAGGCTCTTTTCATCTTGATATCAATCCATTAATCAACACATTTAAGATATGGACCTTCAAACAATTACTACCATGCAGCATATGTATTTACTTTTTTTAATCTTACGGGATTACTCTTAAGAGCAAATGGTAATTAAAGGATATTAATATTTATTGAAAATTTGTAAAAAGTAACAATTGAAATTATTACTATTGGCTTTATTTTAGCTTTTACTATTAATAGTAGTATTAATAGGAATAATGTTTTCTCATATCATCCTATTAATCAGGAAGAAAATACTTCATCAGATGAATTCATTTTGTGCTTAATCATCCAGATTATTCAAACATTTTATTGAAATATAGTATTTATGCTGATAAATGTGGCATAAATGTACGGGTAAATTAATTTTTTGCACACTTAGCACACCCAACACTTAAATCAAGAATAACATTAATTGTACCCCAAGAATTCTCCTCACTGTTAGCCCCTCTCCATCTCTACCAAGGGTAGCCACTGTCTTGATTTACAACAGAGGCTAGTTATGCTTGTTTTTAAAATTTTTATATAAATGGAATCAGAACTATGTTCTCTTTTGTGTCAGGCATTTTTTTAGCTAAACATTATTACTGTGAGATTTGTCTGTATTTCTGTTGCAGTTGCAGCCCATATATTCACATTGTTATTTAATATTGTGTGACTATACTGAAATGTATCCATTCTATTATTGGTTGTTATTTCAGTAGTGTTAAGTTTTAGATTATTTTTGCAGAGTACCTCTATAAACATTCTACTATGCTATTCTGATGCTATGTGTATTTTTTTGTTGTTGGATGTATGCTTATGAGTGGAATTGGTGGATCATAGGGTAGGCACGAGTGCAACTTTAAAAGAGAATGCCAAACAGTTTCACAAAATAGTTCCTACCAATAATGTATGAGACTTCTAGCTGCCCCACATCCTCACTGACACTGGATTTTTTTGTATTTTTCATTGTATTCATTCTGTGGAGTGTGCTGTTATTTCATTATGGTTTTAGTTTGCATTTCTTTGAAGATAGCCTTTTATCCTTTAACATCTATTCAAGTATTTTATCCTTTTTTTCTCATTGACTTGTGTTGTGGTTTTTTTGTTGTTGTTGTTACTATTGATTTGTACGAGGTCTTTATGCATCCTAGATATAAGTATTTATTGACATTCACATGGCTATGGGTCTAATTTGTTTTTCATTTTCGTTGTTTTAGCATATATTAGAAATGCAAATTTAGTTGGGACTTGTATATAAAAATGGACATAGACTTACTCTGTAAGTGTTCAGCAGAAACACATGGGTAAACACTCTGCTGCTTAGTATTTGTATATAGAATAGCACAAAGCTTACCTACAAAGATTGTAAGGTAGAAAATGATTAGAAGAAACATAATATTCTTATAAATATATTGTGAAAAACAGTGATTTTTGTATTTTCATGTAGTATATATGGTCTTCCATGAAAAAGAACATAGGAAGAAATATTTTCCCTGCTTAGATTTTTGTCCCATGTATGGCATTTTAAGGTAATTGCATATTCCACGGAGTGAATTTTTTCCAAAACTATGTGGTTGCCTTTAATGTAAATTTGAATTACTTAAATTTGGAATTAAACAACAGAAAAGAAATGATATATTTTCATTTTTAAGTAATGGGAATATCATAGTGTTAAAAAGACATCAACACCCATATAACTTCAAAGCTTATGGCATAGTGAATTGCAAACTGTTTATTATTTTTCCCTTTGGGCATACCACATTATCTGGCAAACAGAACCTTTGTTGAGATTTTATTCTGAGTTATACAGATTTGAAATGATACAAAATATCTTGGATAAAATTCTACAGCCTTCTTACTGGACCACACCTGTTCAACCTCCAAAACTTTATAATTTAGTTATTTAAGTGGAATCTTTCTTAATATATTACATGCTTCCCTGCCCTTTTAAACTGAGTAGACTAAAACACAATTAGAATTTTCTTACTAAGACATATCTTCACAAAGTTTTTCTTTTTTCTCTTTTTTTCTTTCTTTCACAATGCTATATGTCACTTCTTTCTGACACATAGGTGGCATGGCATATTAGACAGAACCTGGATTAGTAGACTGAATCCTGGTGCCACTTCTATTACTGTCACATTTTATGAATTTGAGGGTCATTTAAACTCCATGAGCCTCGTTTTCTTAATAATATAAATTAATGGGTTGGGCTATAGTAGTGTCTTTAAGGCTCCCACTGGCTCAGAGATCTTCTTATTCAGTGGAAATGCAAAATTTCACAAATATAATATTCAGATAAGTGGATCTCTCTCGTGTGTGTGTGTGTGTGTGTGTGTGTGTGTGTGTATGTGTGTGTGTGTCTGACAAAAGTTTCCATAGATCGCCTCTCTAAATTAAATCCTTCATCATGTAGAATTGATTTTGGGAAACAAAAGGATGTAAAGATCCAATTTCACTTTTCTCTTATAGATAACCAATTGTCCCAGCAACTTTTATTGACCTCTGTATGTTTTGCTAACTTATCTGCAATGCCAGACAATATACATATAAATTGTTTTCATATATGCTTATTAGTATGCACGCGCATGCACACACACACATTTATATATATGAACCAGAATCCTCTTGACTACCTATCATCAAAAGAGCAGAATAATAAGCAATGAGAAATGAATTGAAAGAATTGGTAAATATTTAGTTTATTGATCATGGTTAACTGTTTTCTAAGGACTGAGACCCAAGTTCTTTATAACATGTGAAATTGCCATGAGATTGCATAATGTCAAAATAAACTTATTACAGTTGGTCAATTTTTATCTTATCAGCTTCAGCAGTATATAAAAATGACTTTCAGTAGCCTTGGCAAAATGTGGAATTATTTTCTTTTCGTTTTATGTCAATTTCATGGCTATTAAATGGCATCTGAATATAGTTTGATTTTGGCCATTTCCTCAATACTAATAGGTATGAACATCTCTTCATTTATTAATAAGTAATAAATATCTATTTTTCTATGAAATTACATTTCTTTTGTCTATTTTTCTCCATTGGTTGTCTTTATTTTTGTATTTATTTGCTGAGATGCTTGGCATATTCTGGATTATAATCCTTTGTTGATTAAAATGAAATGAAAATATTTTCTCCCAAATTGTTATTTAACTTCTTATTCTATGGTGTTATTGATGACCCAATATTCTTAATTTTAATGTAGATGAATGTATCAATATTTATTAGTGCTTTATTCTAATTTTAGAAATCCTTCCATTCTTTCATATCAAAATTTATTGTCTGACAAGTTTTCACAGATTGACTCTCTAAATTAAATCAGGCATCCATGTAGAATTGATTTTCGTGAACAAAATGATGTAAAGATCCAATTTCACTTTTTTCTTATGAATAACTGATTGTCTCAGTAACCTTTATTGACTAATCTATCTTTTGCACACTTATCTGAAATGCTTGACAGTAAAAATTGTTTTCATATATGCTTAACAATATTTTAAGTTTGATTATCATTATTCTCATTTTACCTATCCTAATACATTTTCTTAAGTACTATAATTTTGTAATAAATGTCCATCTTTACACAGGCAACTTCCTTCATCTTCTTTATCTGGCATATCATGGCTATTTGGGACTCTTTTTTTTTTTTTTCTCATAGATTGTGCAGAAACAGCTTTTTACATTTATATTTTTAATCGATTGAGATTTTTATTAGGATTTTATTAAATCTATAAATCTATTTACATATGTTGGAACATTGATTGTCTCTAGTATACAAAACCCTAAATTCTTTCCAAAGTATCTTATTAAGCCAAATAAATTTGTAGATTATTTTAGTCTTTCAATTTGTGCATTGTATTTGCTTATATGATGTGATTTTCTTTATTTATAATCTTTATAATGTTCATATAGTTTTCTTGTCTTCCTGCATTAGCTACAACGTCAAGTGTAGCACTGAATATAAATGTTGATAGTGGGAATCCTTGTCCTGTTTCTTATCTTAAAGAGAATATTCTAGATTTCATAATAACATATGACTTATGTTGCTTGTTTTAGATCATTTATCACATTTATCACATTAATTAGGCAAGCAGGAAGATACCTACTATTTATCACCAACGTATCAACTTTACCAGATGTCTGCACAGACATTATCTCATTGTATCTTCACATTCATTCTGAAAGATTGCTATCTCTAACCATTTTCAGAAAGCGAAATTCGAAAAACAAATAATTGTTCTAGTGACAGCTAGTGGCCAAACTGGAATCCAAACTCGTGTTTTGACCCACATTTTTCTCAGTATAATAGTAATATCTAGTTGTGCTTGTGCCCAATATTGAACCACTTGCCATGTTGGACTGACCAGGGGAGCAGACACCTGGACTATAACTTTCTGAGACAGGAATTAAGTCCATTGTGTTCACTTCATTATCCCTAATGACTGGTACTGGGCTTAACCCTTGGGAGGTGCTCGCCAATATTTTCAGTGTTTGAATGGGAGGGATTCACTATTATAGATTGAGATGTCCTTCCTATGACTCTTACTCAGAATTATTTGGTCTGAGTGATAGTCTTGGCTAATAATTTACTAGTAGTCAATGACTAATATTCCAGGACTCAATTCCTGGTGAATACCTCTAGGTGCTCACCATGATAGTTATTGCTATGGTTTGACTACCTGTAGCCACTGACGGCATTTTCTACATCCAGGAAGGCAGGTCATCTGGCTTTGATGCGTTGAAAGTGATTTGAGCTCTGATTCCAGGACATGAGTTATTTGACAATCAAATGAAAATTCCTGAGATTAAAAACCTATTACAGGGGAGAGTGCAACACCTGCTGATGTATCAACCCTCTCCGGGGCATGATAGTGATAGTATGTTGCCAGTGGGACAGATTAAGTTTCTCCAGTACCTTTTTAAATTATATGTTTATAGTTTATCAGAAGCTGATTCCCAATCATGCTGTCTCATTTTTCTTGGCACAGCATCATTATTGCCTAGAAAGTCAAGGGGACTTATGGCTTACATTCTTCCTTTGGTTCAGCTCACCTCATCAGTGGGAGAAGTGTGTTCTTTCCAAATAGCCACCTTTCTATATGATCTGTCTAGCATCTTGTGAGATCTGCTTTGTTACTTCTAAATCTGGTAAAGACTAAGATACGTAGAAAATGTTGAGACTTCATTTATATGCTATCCCCATGACGATGTGCTAGAATTCTTACCAATGTCATAACAGCCAGCCCTACCATCTGCTTGATGAGACCAGGGAATGGATCAATAATCCAGCTGACTCCATTAGACTTTCTATCGCTACTCCCTCCATCCAGAGAGAAAAAAAAATGCACATGCTTTGTAGGAGATCTGTTTACTCCCAGACCAGATTCTATTTTTTTTTTTCTTTCCTTTCTCCTTACCAGATAATTTGTTATGGTCTCTCAATGATAAAACTGTTTGTCTCTTCATTGAAAAAGATCTTTGAATATAAATGTCTCACTGAAAATTAAAATAATACCTCAGTTGGATGGAGAGAATGTTGAAAACATCTTGGAATCCATTGTTGTCAGCAGAGTGGAACCATCCAATATGCATTTATGGTACCTGATTCATGCCCTGGAGACATCTCAGAGCTGCTTTCTCTGATCAGAGCTCTTGCAGTGATACTGAAAAATTAATTGAATTTTCAAGAATGTCAGCTTTAGCTACTGCAGCTGATGGCCCAATAGTTGAGGAGATTTATTAAATATATACTGCCACCTACAGTACTATTTGACTGAGACAGGGTTCATGTCATGGAATCTAATTAAGCAGGGTTAATTTGGGGAGTGATTAGCTATTGTTTCTGTTAAGATCTGCTGATTTGCATAGTGTATTTGTTTACTTATGTATGTATCATCTGTTTTCCTCTAGGAAAAGAAGAATATATTGCCACGTTCAAGGGATCTGAATACTTCTGCTACGACTTGTCTCAAAACCCCATTCAAAGCAGCAGTGATGAAATAACTCTGTCATTTAAAACCCTTCAGAGGAATGGACTGATGCTTCACACTGGGAAATCAGCTGATTATGTCAATCTTGCCCTGAAAAATGGAGCTGTCTCTCTGGTCATTAATTTGGGATCAGGGGCCTTTGAAGCACTAGTGGAGCCTGTGAATGGAAAGTTTAATGATAATGCCTGGCATGATGTGAAAGTCACCAGGAATCTGCGTCAGGTAACAGCGCAGTGGATAAGAGAGTAACTGGCTTTGTTTCTCGCTACAGCTGTGTGTGTGGTACTTGAAAACTCTAACAACATGATAAAGGGCTCCTCAGAGTCACTTGCAAATTAACTTTTTCTTCTTCTGAGATGAATCTTCCTGCCATACTTGAGCAGGGGCATATCTAGAAAGTTCTGGGGGCCCAAAGGCTATTTTGATACAGGGCCATATGAAAATTTACAAGAGGGCTGCAAGGATATCCCTGCAACCTGCCCTTCCTGTGACGTGTGTGATTTTGTTGTGTTTCTGGTTTTTTGTTGGTTTAATTTTAAATTATAGTTTTCATGGTGATCATTTGGAAGCATGCACATTGGGGTCATTAAATCACAGTTCCTTTTTTGTAGTCAAAACAATAGTGTTTGTGATTTGGGATTGTATCAGTCCCTACCCCCTCCTCCCCCCACCCCCAAAATGGGGACCAGAAAAGTCCCTGAGGGGAAAAATGACTTTAGGGGCTTACATATCTCCTGAAGGGTCTGATTTTGAAGATATTTTTATTTTTAGCATAGATACTTTAAGTTAAACCCCAAATGACTCTGGAAAGGCCAGTTAAGCTTCTAGGTGCCCATTTCTATTTGATTGTGTTTTTAAAAAAATTTTTGAGATGCTAAATACTAGGAAAATATCAGCTATTTACTAAATCTATGGGTCCACATATACTGTATGTTTTTAATGAAAACATGATTACAGTATATATATATGGATGAAAATGAATAGATTGTCCTTTTATATTGAACATTGTAAGTTTGGGTATTATGTGAAACTTTATATTACAATGTATCATTTTGTTAAGTGTTGACAGTGACTAATTTTTTTGCCTTACATGCTGATCTTAAACTAATATTCTTAACATATTTGTTGTTTCTCTGAACAGTTGCAGAATGACCGGATTGTCTCTGGTTTTCCTTTACCAAAACAGCCCTCTCTTTCAGAGCTGTTAACTGTCTAACCTTTTCTTTCCTGCTTCTGAAAGGTTTAAACTATCTGAGCTAGAGAAACAAAAAGGAGCTTTAGGAATGTAGATTTAGTCTAGCTAAGGCAAACAAGTAAAACTGAAAGATTCTTGAGAACCCCAGACCTTCCAGATCCCTCACTGACATGGGAGGGGGACCTGCATGCTTCCACGTGCCTTTGGAGAGGGTCGGCCACCATCAGTACAACTGTAGACCACGGGTTTCCTATAAGTCTGTCTCTTTGGTTTTCCTTTTTTTAATTTTTTCTCTCAGATATGCACAAAGAAACCGGAGGCTCATTTGAGAGAATCACAGAAGGAAGGGTGGGGGCTTGAGGAGTCCACTTTCTAGATTTGCCTTTGCTCAGGTTACAAACCAAACTGCGAATTGGTAGCTCAAAGGAAACTGTAGTTATACAGCCCGGGTGCATGTGTAGGAGGACAGATTAAACACAAATCCATTCTATTCATTCTATGTGTCAGGATCTTTGCTTTGTTTCATTGCAGTAAACTGTGACCCTAAAGTCCATCAATATGACCGAAGGAAGTTTTGAAGTTGAGGAGGAGTCCTTGTATGCTGTAAAATTGAGTAGTAGGGCAATGCCAATTGATTCCTACTAATTTCCTGGGGCTGGGGTGGGCCAGGGTGGAGGAGGGGCCAAGTATGGGCATAGGGCTGCAGTGGTCAGCTGAAAAGCTTTAGGCCTTTGAATCCCTTTTAGACTTTTCCAATGTCTCTCAGATGTACTCAGGAAGACTAAGGGAACATTGCCATGTGTCTGTTTCTGTCTAGTAGCGAATTATGAACAATAATAGCAGGAAAAATATTACCTCTGTGGGAGGCCTACTTGTTAGTCTGCTTTTTTCTTGTAAAATTTTTTTGCCCTTTTTCTATGTTACTAACATGCTTAATAACTAACATGTCATTCATGGAATGTTTCATTCTACTAACCGTTACCTGAATCAAAAAATGTACTAACATGGTAGAGACCATCATATTTTTTAAGTAACGATCGTTATTCTGTTCACAGTTTTTAATTTCCTTTCTCCCCCCTTCTCCACAAAGCACTCAGGCATTGGACACGCTATGGTAAACAAACTACATTGTTCGGTAGATATCATTCTAATTGTTTCTTATTTTGGGTTTGCCGTGTGTTTTCTTTCTTTCTTTTAACTGTAGACATCATTAACAAAAGAGGAACTGCGGTTGGTACTCTTCTGCTTACTTTGACCTCCTTCTTTTCATCTGTTGTTGACCTTCTTATTTTTACCTGTTCCTGTCAACTTCTGTTTTCCAACTCACCTGTAGGGGCATCGTTAACGTTTCGAACGTTTTGCATCCAGCTGTGGTTAACACGGGATAAGACAAAATGGTGGCTGGCCCGAGTGACCGCAGGCTCAGCCAGTCTCTAACCATTCATGATGCATGGCATGGAAACTTGATTTGGGAATGCTGGAGATGCCACACCCACTCATCTTTACGTCATCACAAAGCAGTTGTTTTTATTTTTATTTTTTTTTTTTCCTTTGGTTCTCCCTGTTTTCTTTCTTTCCTTTTCTGAACTGTACTGTACCTCCTGCATGTGCACATCAGCGTGTGCCGCTTCTACTGGTTGTTTTGCCTTTTCTCTCCCTTTGGCATGGACTTAGGCACTTGCATGCTGAACAATTGCTGCTCAATAGTGCAAATAGTGATGTTGCTGGAACTAGCTTGCGCCTTTTATGTTAACAAGGTGCACGTTGTGATTAGTTAATAACAGACAACTAAACTTTACTAATATGTACACCAGCAAAACTAACCTAGGAAGCATTTTACTAACACCATTTTTGTGTCTGCTCAATAACTTTTGAGTTGCAATAGGGATGATGCTGACACTAGTTCAATAATCAGTTAACTCTCTAACTAGTTTAGATCTCTTAGGGCTAGTTGAATAGAATCTAAGAATAAACCTCAAACAGACATGAAAATGGGTTCCATCATAGGTCTAAAAACAAAAACCAAACAAACAGAAAAAAGAAAAAAGCAAAACAAACAAAAAAAAAACCAAACCAAAACACAAAACAGGCATATCCCAGGATTACAGTATCTAGGTCTGAGTATAGCGTGTCCTTTCCCTGTGCTTTGTTATCTAGGTGACAATATCAGTGGATGGGATTCTTACCACAACGGGCTACACGCAAGAAGATTATACCATGCTGGGGTCTGATGACTTTTTCTATGTTGGAGGCAGTCCCAGCACAGCCGACCTTCCAGGGTCACCAGTCAGTAACAACTTTATGGGCTGTCTCAAAGAGGTAAATATCTTTGTCATCAGAATCATTCCTAATTCCTGATCTCATTATTTCAGATCCAGCATGAAAGCACCTTTGCTGAAGAACCGATGTTTCCAGACTCAAATGGCACAACTTTAAATTCAGTATTCCACTATTGTTTATGTAGGATTGGGGGAGGGAAAACAGCCCATAGATCATTCTGAAAGAATTAGGTTCCTCTTCTTTACTAGTCTGTAAGTAATTTACATTTGAGAGTTGTGTGGACAGTTGATATTAGCTATAAAAGAAAGTCAAACAAAAAGAAGTACTGGGTCTAAAGTTAAGGTAATTGGTTTACTTGCTTATTTCTACCTAAATGCCATAGGTGTTATGTATACGGTGAAGACTTTTTTGAGTATTAAAAGAAAAAAGAATAAAAAGACATTAGGCTATAGGAGAAGGAACGACTATGTAATTCAAAACAAAACTAAAACAAAATAAGTCTGTATAATGAAATAATTTTGTTCCCTTATTTTCAACACGTTCTGGAGGAAGTAAAACTGTTTCATTTGTTATCTGATGAATTTACTTGATATTTATCTGAGCAAGAACGTCAAACTAAATGATATCAATAATTTCATCCTTCATTATCAGCTGTAGTTGCCTATTGTAACTTTGTATAATATTGGGATTTATTGGGTTTGGGGGAAGTTCCTGAATTTCATTTTTTAATGAATATTTTCCATAAAAGCTACCTTTAAAAAATTTCATTCAGCCGGGCGCGGTGGCTCAAGCCTGTAATCCCAGCACTTTGGGAGGCTGAGAGGGGCGGATCACGAGGTCAGGAGATCCAGACCATCCTGGCTAACCCGGTGAAACCCCGTCTCTACTAAAAAATATAAAAAACTAGCCGGGCGAGGTGGCAGGCGCCTGTAGTCCCAGCTACTCAGGAGGCTGAGGCAGGAGAATGGCGTAAACCCGGGAGGCGGAGCTTGCAGTGAGCTGAGATCCGGCCATTGCACTCCAGCCTGGGCGACAGAGCAAGACTCCGTCTCAAAAAAAAAAAAAAAAAAAAAAAAAAAATCATTCAGACACAATCCAATTTCTTTGGGCTACTGGAACCAGAGGTTCCTCTTACATTGTATGGCTACAATTTAATTGCATAGATTTCTAAAAATCAAAGTTAAATAACTTGGAATTAACTAACTGTTAGCCATAGGTGCTGTTGATAAGCAGTGATGTACTTAGATTTATTCTAAAGTAAATAATTTAATCATATAAACTTGATTCAGTTAAGCGTTAGAGAAAAACAATTACTACTGAATTATCTTTCCCTGTCTTCTCTTTATGTGAATATACTGGTTGATTTGTTGCCCGGTATGTGGATGTATATAGAATAGTCCTGAGGGAGATTTAAAAGTGCAATAGTTTTAACAAACATGAGGAGGTGCACTTCTGTAAGGCCAAACCTACCCATGCTTTGTAGTAGGAGTGATAGATTACCTTTCAGAAAGTAACTTTTACTGGTTACAAATATGTAGTATGATCCAGGTTTGTGTTAAGCTGTGTAGAGGATGATAATCTAATTATTATTATTATTATTTATTATTACTATAGTACTAATATTTCCAGAGCTGTTATTTTGTGCTATTCTAAGAGCTTTATAGGAATCCTCACAATATAGGTAGACATTTTATTATCTGCATGTTTCAGACAAACTGAGATTTGAAGCAGGTAAGTTTCTTGGGGAAGGTCGCACAACTAATAAGTATTAAAGTCTAAAGGTTAATTGAGGAAGTCTGATTTCAGTGTCCCTTGTGCCCTTAACTACCATAGTTAAGAGCCTTGTTGCAAGAGAAATGTTTGTTAGAGTTCCTAAAAGATTGTACAAACTCTCAAATATGTTATAAACTAAAACAATGTTTACAAATGTATAATAGACTGTGAGGATTGAAGTATTAAATTATTTAACACAGTTATTTGATTTAAAAAGCGCGTGAGATGAGTGAGAGTTCTAGAAGACAAGGAGAGAAACACAGAAGAGTCAGAACGTGAGCACCTCAGACAGTGACTGATGGACGCAGGCAGGGACGGAGAAAGTATATCAGGTGTGGTAAAAGAATGCTTAGATTTTATTAGAAGATTTCCGAAACTCCGTTCTAGTGATGGAAAGTGGAGGGCAGAGCCACATCCTCAATCACCCGTACCAACTTCCTCATTTTTACTGTGAGCCAGACCAAGTATAATCAGTCCCTGCATCCTGCTTTATCTAGAGAACAGTAATCCTGCTTGGATTGGAAAAAAGAAGGGGAATCGAGGGATCTCTAGCAGAAATGGGAATCTAACTAAAGAATTCTTTTGGGCATCATAAAAAAAAAAAAAAAAAAGAGGATTTCTGCAGTGAATCCCTGAGTTCAGCTGAGACACATAATCTTCTGATAATTCTGCATAAGTGAAGCAGTTTTTTTTTGTGTGTATAAAGCTGCAGTTAATTGCCTTAATCTAAAATAACTCTAAAATAACAGTTTGAGATTAAACTGTGCTTCAGATTAACACCTCTAATTTATGAACTGATAAAGATTCCTTACCTTAGTATTCTTTATATATATATATATATATAGGCCTTTTAACCACAAAAAAACCACAATACCAAAAAATAAGTCAGGTGGTCTTCCAAGTGCCATGTTAGTTCACAGCTGGTAAATTCATAAAAGGAAGATTCACTCGTGCTGTTGTCACTATGGGGTTTGGATACAATTCACTCTTTTTTATTGATTAGACACCTTCCACCTCTGTCTTCTGCATCTGGGGTGTGTGTGTTATGTGTTTGAGGAAACATGGTCACTTTTTTCTTGACTTGTGTAATCTTTTTCATTTTATTTCTTCTGATGCACTATAGTTTGGAAGGATATCGGCACAATTAGTCTATAAATCAAAACATACCTAACTTGGAGGGCTTTCTCTTTCTTTTTTTTTTTTAAGAGATGGAGTCTTGCTCTGTTGCCCAGGCTGGAGTGCAGTGGCATGATCTTGGCTCACTGCAATCTCCACCTCCCGGGTTCAAGCAATTCTCCTGCCTTAACTTCCCAAGTAGCTGGGACTAGAGGCATGCACCACCACATCCAGCTAATTTTTGTATTTTTAGTAGTGACGGGTTTCACTGTGTGTTGGCCAGGATGGTCTTGAACTACTGACCTCAAGTGATGTGCCCACGTCGGTCTCCCAAAGTGCTGAGTGTGGTGGTTCAAGCCTGTAATCCCAGCACTTTGGAGGGCTGTTTAGTTGTTCATAGTTTCCATCCATGTCTGAACTGTTATCTATTTAGAAGTCCCTGCTCTTGTTACTTCTGAAATGAAATAGTGACAAAGTATCATGGATTCTGAGTTAAATCGCCTTATTTCAAATGGTCAGCTTTGTGGAGTTACTGAAAAGAGAGGGATATACCCATGTTCATTCTCATAGAATCTCTCTTAACAGTAAAGTCTATGTAAATTTTCCTGAACTCTAGCTTGGACTTCCTGGCCTATACCACACTGCATGTGTAAACCCTTAATATGACTTCATTTACTGGCTGATAACATTTTTGTTTTCAGTCTAGTATGTAGTCCCTCTTAGCATAACCAGTCTTGAAGGAGATTCTAATAACACCTTGTCTGAAAGTTATGGGAGAAATTTTGGAGTGTTAGAATAGAAAAGATCCTGGAAATCATTTTCTAAGTTCAACTTTCTTCTTTTGGGGAAACAGACCTAGAGAAGTTACTTGACCAAGAGTAATGAGGGGGTCCAGGAGGATTAAAATACAACACCCTATCAAGTGAAATATAATATTTAAATGGCTGGTTCTATTTCATTGTAAACAATGGCACTCAAGGTATAAAAATACCACTTTCACGAATTTACACATTTATTCCTTAAAGATTAAAGAAAAAAAAAGGAAATCACTCAACATATTGAAACAACCTATAATCTCATATTCATTAGATGCAACTTAGGTCTTTCCCTTTTTACCTTTTAATAATGTCTATTTGAAATGAGACTTTGCTTGCATATAGAACAACTAATCCTCAATTGGAAAGTTACTTTTATGTATGTGATTATCAAATTTCAAAATAAAATAAGATTAGTTCAAAATAATTTGGTGAAAACTAACCTGAACTTTATATGGTGCTTTGTTTAAAATGACAAGGAACCTTGAATGGCCAGGAAATCAAATAGAGATCAAAGTAGTTTTTTTTTTTTTTTTAATGATTCATATGTTCATCACAAGTAAATCAAAGTCTGGGAAAATATTTGTAGTCATTGAAAAATGACTCACAAGTTTAAATTTGAAAAGAAAGTTAAAGAAAAATTGTAAATAATAAATTGCCATTATTTACAGCCCATACCTATGAAATTCTTAGAGGATAGCAGGTCTTTTAAAAATACGCTTTTTAAATCTGATTTTTGCAAAGGCAACACTATGTTTTGACAGAAATACCTGTTTATATTCTTTTCATTTTCATAACACTGAGTGAAAGCTGAAATATATGTTGCTTAAGAATTTTCGATCATTTTATATTTAATTAAATTTTCTAACAAGCAGTTTTTGAGTGACTGCTACAAAAGGAGAGGAGATTATAAAACCTTGCAGAAAGAGAAATCATGTTGTCTGAGATGCTCAGACTCTATTTGAGGACATCTTGCCCATTTACCTAGACCACTTGGAAAGCATTTTCCTGTAGAAAAGTCTCACAGTTAATTCTTCAGGTGTTCACCAGATATATTTTAAGAATCTTTAAAGGTAGATGAAAATCTCACTAGTATGTGTTTCTACCCCAATATTTTCTTCCTAAGTGTTTCTGTAGTCACTGACCTATCAGGAAGGGTCATGGCGCTCCCTCATTAATCTCCCCCTCAGAACTGTTCCTGCAATTATTATGCATTTCCTGGTCTCTTTGTGCCCCCGAATGCTCTGAAACACTTATTTCCCTCCAGCAGAGTGAACATTATTTAGCATAGTTTGTTAGTAAGGAAATGAAACTGAAGAGGTAGTAAAGGACTGT